TCGGCACATCAGTCGCGCGAGGGTACGCGCGGTGTTGTACACAATTAGGTACAAACAATTCTAAAACGAACAACAAATACGGAAATTCAAATTCAAATAAAATCACCTCTGTGCTTATTCATAGGTAATCCCCCGATTTACACTTAATAAATTGAAATTTTGTCATATACAGGATGTCATAATTTTTTGTCTTTAGACCGAAATAACGTCTACATCATGCGATTTTCAAAATGCATTATATTTTTTAAATAAATAATTCAATGTATTATGGTAATTCTTCAAACGAGTAAACGCGTTGTGGTCGCTTCTAAAATGACCATAACGCGTGGTGGTCGTAAGTTAACGACCATAACACGGAAAAATATTTAATTTCAGTGTTTGGTCATTTAGCTGCGGTCATAACGCGTTATGTGGGTTTTTTTCGCTCATTGAGCGTTTTCGATATTTGTGCGTAACATCTCTATATTTTGTACTTTATTTTCAGTGATATTCTCATCAATTTCTTTGAGAGTGTGCTCAGTTGAGCGGGTGGTTGTAATGTTCCCGTTAAACCGCGAGGGGGGGGGGGGTCATCCACTGACAAATTTATAAAAATTTGATACTCAAAACGCAGTTTCAGCGCTCTAAATATAAGACATAAGACCTTCAATTCGCTTGATGTATAACTATCATGTCCAGTGGCGCCTTGATTGAGAGTATACGCTATATGTCTAACAAATCCTTGAGAGTATACGGCGTATATGGAGTATATACCCTATCCCTATGAGAACACCACATTTTCAAGGTTAACAAGGATCAATGACTACAAGAATTTTTTGGTATTACATTTGATTTTCAAGGTAAACAAAGGCCAATGATTTTTGATTTTCAGAATGTTGGCAATTTTTCGGGAGAGGTGAAGCTCAAATGTCTCTATCTCTCCCTCGATGACGGAAAAGTTAGTCAAATCGATCAAAGGTCGCTGGCCCCTTCCCTGCTCCTAAAACAGTGAAGTATAACGGTCTCTCGCTTCTGGTGGTGACTTTGCGAATTAAGTCCAAGTGTAGATGAACAGTACACGGTTTTGAAAAGTAGTTCAAGCTATCGATCAAAAGTCGCTCACAGTCGCTGCTGTTGGTCATGATGACGTTCAAAATTCAGCTTTCTTTATTCGAAATGATTGTTTTCTAAAGAACACATTATTAGGGTACCTCCTATAACCATGCTATCTATAACTTTAGGTTCATTGACTTTGGTTGACCTTGAAAATGAAATTTGACACTACAAAAATAGGACGTAGCCTTTTGTTTACCTGATAATAAAATTTGACACCACAAAAAATGGGGTAATTGTTCAATTGCCGTACGACCATTGAACTTTACGTTGACCCATTAAAGTTAACTAATGTCGCTACCAAGTGACGAGCGAGATTGCCCTTGTCTAAAGTCCCTAGATAACTAAAGTAACGCGAATAGCAGCCATTTTGGCTCAGTTTTGAAATTGATCAACAGTTGGAAAGTATGTATTTTGTAGTCGCTCTATTGGATTGTGCGGATACTTGGACAGGGCAAGTTTTGTGAGCGGATCGTTTAATAATCTTTAAACATCACAAGAAAAATGGAATTGCATCGCTTTTTCAATCGTTTCACCACTCCACATAAAACTCTTGTGTGTAGGTACATACCCAATTCTAAATATTTTAATTGATCTTCATTGAAAGTTTTCGAAAAATTCTGAGTAATTTCTTTCTTTTTTGCACTCCTTTGTTCTAAATCGCGTTTTTTCAATAAAACACGAAAGTCGGGAACGTCAATTTTACAAATGACTATCTACTTTCGCGCACTAGTGCCTAAAAATTCAACGAAATTATCTATTTAGTGCGGATCATAAACTAATAAGTAGTATGATGGAAGAGTAAAAAAGAAAATATAAATACACTTTACATCATTCCCTGTAGTACAGGGGCAAAAATAAGCTTAAACCAGAAGTTTTGAACAATAAATTGACATTTTAAATTTCTAGATTTCTACTTTCGTACCACAGGGAAGCGTATTAGGGCCCGTGCTCTACCTACTATACACGGCGGATATACCTACCAACGATCATACGACCACCGCTACATTTGCAGACGATACTGCTATTCTTGCAACTCATGAAAACCCTCTTATTGCATCAAAAAACCTACAAATCTCTCTCAGTCAAGTCCAAGACTGGCTCCGGCTGTGGCGCATGAAAGCAAATGGAACCAAGTCCACACGTCACATTCACACTAAGAAGGGAAACGTGTTCGCTAGTAACCCTTAATAATATACCACTACCGCAAGCTAACGAAGTCAGATATCTCGGTCTGCACATTGATCGCACACTAACTTGGAAAAAACATATCTTTAGTAAACGAAAATAACTGGGCCTAAAGTTCACGAAATTAAACTGGCTATTAGGACGAAAATCCAAGTTAACTTTAGAAAACAAGGTACTACTCTACAAAAGTATACTTAAACCTATCTGGACATACGGGCTGCAACTATGGGGAACCACAAGTAACTCCAATCTGGAGATTTTGCAGAGATTCCAGTCTAAAACCCTGAGGACAATAGTAGATGCTCCATGGTACGTTAAAAACGAAGTCATACACCGGGATCTTCGAGCGAAATTAGTGAAAGAAGGAGTGAAGTGCGTGAGTGCAAAGTATCTTTCGAGGTTAGAAAATCATACAAACCATCTTGCTGTGAATTTGCTAGATAACAGCAATACAATCAACAGACTGAGGAGAATCAGCCCCCTGGATCTTCCAGACCGATACTAGACTGTTTTGAATGTTGAATATTACCTGTACATATAATAAGTAATTCTTTTGGGGAAGCCTTCCACTGGGGCGGCATCCAACATGTTCTGTCTTTGTAATCCACCTGATTTACTTATTGCTTATTAGAGCAGATTGTAAATATAATTAGTCATTAAAAAAAAAAGATTTCTACTTTATCGGCAGAGGACTTGATTTTTTCAAAAGAATTATAATGTCGCAAAAATCTCGCGACAAGGATTTGAATTTATATAAATTCGATTGAACTAATCCGTGCAAAAAATAGAATAGGTACATGTTACGTGCGGGAACAGTATTTGCTTGATTCGCGCGAGATGCGTCGCAAATGTCAAACCTGACAGTAGGTGTCAAACGGCCAATTTTTTTGTCTAATACAGGCCTAATGTATCGCGTTACTATAGTATATTAAGTATGGAGAACGGTAAGGGATTTTTACCGTTCGAAGACAATTGTTTGGAGGAGGAGCGAAGCGACGACTCCAATTATTGTCTGAGAACGGTAACCCTTAACGTTCGACGTGCTTATAACATTTTTTGCGCGATCGAAATTAAAATTATGCAACCAATATAAATATGCACTAAGAAATTAACGAGCAGAATAAATCGAAATGATCGAAGTGGTATGGTGTATATCACTAGGTAACCAGTTTATTTGTCAAAATTGAAGTTAATAATTTCATAAAAATGTGCATGTGTCTGATGTAGTTTACTAGCTTTGAACTTCCTTTATGACTTTATGAGCGTCTTGCTATAGGAAACAACAGCACAAATTGTACGTTTAATGTACCTAACAATAATTAAAGATTAAATGTAATGTAAGACTGTTGATTTTTAAAAAGGCGTCGGTAAGTATTTTTGCTGTTCTGTTTTTAGATCGGTAAGTAATTTTGACGTCGTCGTAATCATAGCAACTGGTAAATTCTACCTACTGTCATGGAAACACCCATGGTAAATAGTCAGAAATGACCGATCGCGCAAAAAGGAATATGAAGTAATCTAGGGACTTTACCCTTGTCCAAAGTGTGTCCTATGTTCTGTGTCTTAGGTCCTATGTGGCTTGGATCATTATGTAAATTGTTAGTAGAGGGGATAGGACCATTTTATTTAAAGACGTGGCCACTCGAGCTCACGCCATTAGCTCCTGCTGAAGCTGATATTCTGCTTTTGCACGTTGAACGCTAAGAGTTCGTCAGTGCTGTCCGGAAAGTGTGTTCTCAATGGGTGCCTGTCAACACAGCACGCACAATAGCCCTACAAAGATGCGCCACACAATCGCGTACCATGCTATTCTGACGCGCCACTTTGCATCGCTTCAAAAACGCCTTGTGGGAAGGGGCTTTAAAAGATGTAGAAGGTTTGTCCAGTTTCTGTAATACACTTGAAGGCGGCGGTTTCTGTCACTGCTACATCGTGCCAACAGCTTCAGGTGTACTGAGATGTCCTGTTCCTTTTGTCTCTGGTCTTTGTAGCACCATACATCCTAGGTAGCGTAGTCACCGATTCACCTTCAAAATTACCGACAATGAACCATACTTTGCAAGTACGAATCTGTACGACTTGCCTTACTTTCTCTTTAGGAACAAAGAAATGATCAGTTTGAGGTCGTAAAAAGTGACAGCTTGTGCATATTTCATTCATGGCCATTACTTAAACGAGACTATTTGTCTGAGAGGTTTTATTATCTTCTTTTGTAGCCATTACTTCAGTGAGTCTATTTGTCTGCAATGTTTTCAGCAAATTTGTGTTTTTGAACAATTAAGATAAAGTAATAGGTGTTATTACTTCACTGTACATGTAAAACACTTACAATAACATTGTGATAATGAACTAAAACAACAAATTATAATAAATAATTTAATGTAATTGAATTTAACTAGTGTAATAAATACAGTTCTTTATGTAGTTCTTAAATACAAAATTTTCTAGTAACATTCTCACAGTTATCATCAACACACTTTCAAAGTACACAACATAAATAAAAAAAAAACCACACACATTGATTATCTAGAATGTTTTTTATCCTCTGTTTGTTAATGCTTGTTATGTTGGTTGAAAATGAAATTGGAATAGTTTTAAGTTGTTAAATTGGTTGATAGATACCTACCTAAGTTAATATACCTACATTGTAGGAAAATACTTCTTTTAGAACACTAGCTGTTACTAAAAGTAACACAGCTATATAATATATTACGAGTATGTAATGATAAAAAAATCACTGAACAATATAATACGCCTATAAAAATGAAAAGATTACAATTATAAATTTATATAACATAATTTTGTATGTGTGCCGCTAGCTACACCTTTAGCTGCAACAAAATATAAAAGTAAACTTTTGTGATTCTTACTGCTACAAAATAATTATTGCTAGAATGATATTCGAATATCAAACCAAAGGAACAAATCAAAAAAAACTCATTGGAATACTTTTACATAAATACCCTATCTATCAACTTAGGTATATGAAGTATGTACGATTTATATGATTTAACAAACAGTCAGTAAATATAAACAAGTCCCTCTTTCCCTGAAGATCATCACGATTACAATGAGTATGGATACTGAGATAGGTAAGTTGTCAGCGAAGGTGGCAACTCTAATTGTGTATGAGGAGGTGGCAGTAGAGCTAAGCGAGGCATACCGTTTGCTTGAATAGCTTTATGGACGACTAATCTTGCTAAATGTTTTAGAGAAGGCGCGCCGTCATCCTTTCGTAAAGGTTTATCTAACAAAATGGCGCTATACCACGAGCCATTCGAGTCGACCCACACTTGGGCACCGTTCCTTAAGTTTCTACGTTGGTTCACATAATGCTGCACTAATTCGACGACACTAGGAAACAGTGGCATCGCACCCTGAAGGTGAGGTTGCGAGTCCAGCCGAAAGTAACCATTTATGTAGTGAATTCGCACCGAAGTAGGGCCCCGTTCTGTTTGTACACTTAAAGAAAATAAAAATCGGGGGTCCGAGGATTCGCGCACCAGAAACGTCCCTAGCGGCTTGTTCTTTAACAGATCGTGACTCTGCTGATAGGTGATGCCTTCGTAGTACCAACCGGATTGGCGCAGAGCCCGTACGGTGTCGGAGAGCTTCTGGAGTTCGTTTTCGGGCTTCGCCTCTATGGGCGATATGGTCGGTTGTAGCGGCGCGAACGGTGGTATTACGAACGCTAGCGGCGCACTGGGCGATATTTGCGGTGAAAGGCATGGTCCTACAGGTACTAGCGATTGGTTTAATGTCGCCACCAGACCGCCGCCGGTGAGCGCGTGCAGCGACCTGCGAGTTCGGTTGCATGGCGGCGTCGGTCCGCAGCACGCAAACTGGTGCTGACATTTGGGACATACTGTGCTACAGCCTAACATTGCACGCAAATGCCATGCCCGGTTTCTTCAGTCTGAAACAAAATATACGCATGTTAGTTAAATTCTCTAAAACTTATCACTATAAGTTTTTAACATAGTCCTTCCAAATGAATAGTTGCGCTGGAGTACTATTAGTGGTTGTCTTGAAAGCGTTAGTCCTTCGAGCCAGATAATTAAAACATCTATTCTAGAACTTGGTAACCTGATTCGTCCTTTGTTATTGCACAAAGGAGCAACTTAAATCATTAAAATGAGGGGGGTTTACGATACGAACCAAAAGTTTCTTTCAGCATCTGGCGGTGACGTAATCTAAGGTACACGGTGATTGTATTGAGAACGTCCAGAGGCAATTTTCGAACAATAGAATTCGAAGTACGTTGAACTTTCACGTGAGCCAAGCAGAGTCCTTTATTAAGTGAAGCCATAAAAAAGGGCAGGTAGAAGAAGGCAATAAATTCGTGTTATCCCCAGTCTCGCTTGTATGAGAGTTAAATAAAGAGCGGAAGTATTTTAAAGTGGGTTCCGAGAAGTCTGATCCGATGATTTTCGCAGAATCCGATGCAGCCTGCGCTGACCCCACATCGCAACCAGCCGCAATATCGTACCGATCTTCGATGGGAGGATTGTGATATCGCATCTTCTACGAAATTCTTTTAATTGCCCGACAACAAAATGTTTACAACTAAATTAGTGCGAGGAAAAAAACCGAACCAGCGCCTAAATAAGGAAATGAGAAGAACCTTGGCGTAAACTTGAATAGTAAAAACCGCTGTACAAGCGGACGTTCCCAGAAAGGTAATCGATGTAAATTAAAAATAAATTTCTTCGACTTTTTTCTTTCCAAGTCGTAATTACGCAACCGACAAAAAAAGTTATGGCTGTCTCGATGATTTATTATGAGATGGGTGCTTGCATACGTTTAACTTCACCTACCTGCCCGAATCCACCATAAACTATTTCGTAACGGCACACATTCCAACCTTTCCCACTTTTTACAAAGAAGTACTTTCTAAAGCGCTTCTATGGAAACGGCAAATAAGCGGAACGATCTCCTCTTTTAAACTTTTACGAGTGTTGTCCTCTTATTATTATCGGTCAGATAAAACGTCTATTGCGATAAGGGACTCGTAATTGGTTTGATTCGTAAAAATGAAATTAGTCCTTGATCACGTTGGTTGTCTTGCATCAGCAAGATATGCCGTTTCTGAGAAATCGTCCGATATTGTCTGGAAGGGTGACTATCATCAGTATACGTACTTTTGTTGTCGACCAGGGGCGCTATTCTCGACACCGTTCGTTTTCGTACCATTCGAATTGAAAACGAAGGGTTTATTTACGAGTACTTTCATAAAATGGTATTCTTGACTGCTATTCGTTTATCAAAACGTATGCTTGGAATTTATGCGAACGAACGGCATGGCAACACTGTCATAATTTAATTTGACATTTCTTTGCGTGCGAACGAATTTTTTAAATTACAAATTATTTGAATTATTATGGAGAAACATAAAAAAACATGTACAAATTACTACTGAACAAAAGCAAATATTGGTTGAATTGATGAAAAGTAACAAAGAACTGCAAAGCGGCAAATTTTCTACCACATTTACATATAAAGATGCCCGAACCGAATGGGAAAAAATAGGACGCACGTTAAATATCATCCCTGGGGCAAAGCGGAACTGGAAGAGTTGGAGGAAGGTGGTAAAATCACTTTAGGGGGGAATATTGCAACATGTGTGCAATCTATACACCCAATTATTGCTGGGAAATTATACTTTTGAAAAAACCTAGAAAGCTATTTGTCTTTTTAACCACACTATTGATTCATGTATCTACCCCATTCTAGCAGCATTGAGTTCTTGTATATTTCTAGGGAAATATACATAAGCGTTAAAAATCTCATTTCAGTTCATAGCATTTACAATTTCTTCAATACATCTTGATACTAAAGGTTGTGATATTTCAAAGTTATAATTTGATCCTACGTCCATTTGGTAGCTTCCACAAGAAACCTCAACGTTACTAAAACCTTAAAAAAATCGCTAAAATTAAGACTGTACCTTGTAGCATATATCCTTGAAAATATTGATACTCAAATTACCTTCGTTGTTACGTATCAGTGGAACGATTTGCGGGGCGATGTAATCTTTTAGATGTACTAAAAATTGCGCTAATGCTTTTTAGATAAGCGAAAAACTTTTATGAAATACCCATCGCTAAGTTCATTAAATGGGTCCAACCGGCGTCTATGTGCTCGTCTATTTCTTACTTCTATGTCCTCTAACTCCTCTATCAACAATAATTGTACAACATCTTCCATTATCCGAATTTTTGTTTCGACTATAAAATGAAAACGTACACTATTTGAAAGCGTCTACAGATTTCCGCTCGCTGTAAACCATTCGGTTTCAATTCGTATACGAACTGAATACGAGCGGTCGAGAATAGCTCTTTAGTCATTCGAATGGAAATGCGCATACGCATTTGAAAGTCACTTGTCGAGAATAGGGCTCCAGGGTACAATAGGTACAATCTTAGTTGAAGCGATTTTTTAAGGTTTTAGTAACGTTGAGATTTCTTGCAAGTGGAAGCTACCAAATGGACGTGGGATCAAATTATAACTTTGGAATATCACAACCTTCAGTATCAAGATGTATTGAAGAAGTTGTCAATGCCATGAACAGAAATGAAATTTTTAACGCTTATGTACATTTCCCTAGAAATATACAAGAACTCAATGCTGCTAGAATGGGGTAGATACATGAATCAATAGTGTGCGGTTGAAAAAACAAATAGCTTTCTAGGTTTTTTGAAAAGTATAATTTCCCAGGAATAATTGGGTGTATAGATTGCACACATGTTGCAATATTCCCCCCTAAAGTGGATGATGATAATTATCCTGAACATATTTATGTGAATAGGAAGAATTATCATTCCATTAATGTACAACTGGTAATCAGAAAAGTGACCAATATTTCTAAATCTAATTGAAACAATGTTTAGATATGTGACCATAATTTGAAGATTATTAATGTGAATGCTTTATTTCCTGGCAGTACTAATGATGCTTTCATTTGGAACCAATCCAATGTGCAAACCCTATTAAGACGATTACACGAGGCCGGAAATAAAAATTATTTCTTGTTAGGTAGGTAGGAATGCTATCACACATAAAGGTTTATTACTTTTAATCTTAGGCGATTCGGGTTACCCATTAAGAAGTTGGCTGTTAACACCTTTAGAATATGAACCACGACCTAATATACCTGAGCACTTCTATAATTCTAGACATAAAACCATACGGAGCACAATCGAAAGATGTAATGGTGTATTAAAAATGAGATTTCGCTGCCTTCTTAAACACAAGGTTTTGCATTACTTCCCCGAGAAAGCCAGTAAAATTATAAACGCCTGTGTTTTGCTGCATAACTTGTGTATTGAGCATAACATAGAAACTCCACAAAATGAGGAAGCCGAACAAATTGATTTGGGCGTGCATGTCCCAGAAAGAAATCATGTTGTTGAGAGAGTAAATCCCGAACTGGCTGCTGGCAGAAACCAAAGAAATAAATTAATTACACTTTTGCAACAATAAATAATCGGCGTTTTTTGTTAAATAATGATTTCTTTTAAGCTAATGTTTTAATAATTGAAAACTATTAACTAATACTTATTTAAAATAAATTGTCTGCTATTGTTTCTAGAGCAGCAGCTATACGTTGTTTAGCAGCAACACCATCCTCTTTAGATACCACCAATCTTTCTAGCAGCGATAATTTCTTTTGATAGTATAATTCTTTCATTTTGAGCTTGGTGTCCATTGTAGCTTTAAAATCTGACACTGCTTTTAAAGTTTGCGCATTTTTAGTTGCTTTTTTTTTAAGGGCACTTTTCGTGCTGAGGTTGATGTCGCTGAGTCGGTAACAGATGTAGATGGTCCTTGTTCATCACATAAAAATTCTTTAGGCATTTCGCCGGCCGGTGAATTTACATATTCCTCCATATGAACATGAACGTCATCAACATTTTCCTCTACTTCTGTAAATTCAACCGTCGATTCCTTTATACCTCAATGTGGCCTTCAACACTAACGGCTTTGACACATTCTAATATACCTTCGTCCACTGGTGTTAATTTATCGTCACATTGAGGGCCTCCGCCTGTTCCACTTGCATGGCGTTTAATTGCGCTTGCTTTTGACTTAGCGCGAGATTTCAAATCTTGCCATGTCTTCAAATAAATGGAATAAGTAATATAAAATGGCATAATGATTTACCACCTTCCTCCAACTCTTCCAGTCCCGCTTTGCCCCGGGGATGCTATTTAACGTGTGTCCTATTTTTTCCCATTCGGTTCGGGCATCTTTATATGTAAACGTGTTAGAAAATTTGCCGCTTTGCAGTTCCCTGTTACTTTTCATCAATTCAACCAACATTTGCTTTTGTTCTGTAGTAATTTGTACATGTTTTTTATGTTTCTCCATAATGATTCAAATGATTTGTAATTTAAAAAATTCGTAGTTCGCACGCAAAGAAATGTCAAATTAAATTACGACAGTGTTGCCATGCCGCTCGTTCGCATAAATTCCAAGCATACGTTTTGATAAACGAATAGCAGTCAAGAATACCATTTTATGAAAGTACTCGTAAATAAACCCTTCGTTTTCAATTCGAATGGTACGAAAACGAACGGTGTCGAGAATAGCACCCAGGTTCGAACTCCAATCCCAGCCCCGTCAAATCGTGTCCATACAAGCTGCATAATTGGCAATGAAATGACTTCGCAGCTACAGAAGATCAATTGTGGAACGAGGCGGATGAATAACAACAATGGGCCTAGTACTGATCCCTGTGGAATACCTTTTCTGTATGTCAACCTTCTTTAAAGAAACATGGAACTGAAATATCTGTCGCGCCAGGCAATTAATTGCGTTTGTTTTTCTAGAACCAATCACGAAATCTGAATCGGTGAGGCTGTAGGATGAGTGGATGACGCAGCTATCATTCTTAAAAAGTTTCAGTTGTTTGTACACGGCTAATTATAATTATGCAAGATAAGCATTTATGCATATTACAATACAGTATATTATTCTGCAAGTATACTTTGAAATTGTGTTTATTTATTAACCCCTCAGGCGCCGTTAGAAATAAACATTTTTTCATTACATCGGGTGACGATGATGATGAAAATGTCCGTATAAATCTTCATTTAATATAAGTAGAAAAAACCACTGCTTTGCACGGGATCTGATGACTGATGAGATCTCAAACCAATGGACGGACGGAGGGGATTCACGCAAGGTATATCGGGGAAAATACGCTAAAAATAAACATCATTCAATAATTTTCGCGAGCGTCATAAAAACTAACAGCTATAATGTCGTCCCTCGAAAGAGAGGACACAATAAAATTAAATATGCAATCTGGTCAGCGAGGAGGAAACCACCATAACATTAGTTTATACAAAACATTTGAAACAATTGAAAAAGTCTCTAACGAAAAAATTCAAAGCTCATTTCCCCAACCAAGAAAAATTCGAGAAGCATGCAAAGTTCCTTTACATTCAGGAAAGTAACTGTTGTTTGGTATTGCAACCATACCATGTTGCAATCATGTGTAATCGCCTAGCATAAGTTAATGTTAAGAGAAGTGACAGATGTAAAAACATACCATGAATAAAGTTGATGAAAGAAAGTCTAATTATTTAAGTTTTCCAATTACAAAACATATTAAACAACTGTTAATTTCAAGTGCGACAGTGAGACTTTCGCCTTGAATGAACATTAAACTTTAGAACCGGCTATACAGAAACATTCAGAGCATTTTTTTGGGGGTTAACTGCGTTTTTCCTTAAACCTAACATTCATAAACTATCGTATTTACAAACATTCGAATTCTAGAATATTTTAAAAAGTCTAGGTAAGTTACTTATAAATTCAGTTTGACAATATCGCAAACAAAAAGCTTCTAGAGAATTCTCGTCTCTCGAATCAGGATATCATATTCCGTAACGTAAAGAACGGGTTTTAAGTCTCGTCGCCGGTAACTATCCTTTATCGACTTGATGGCGCCTTGATGTCGTTCTAAGAAATTCCGAGAGAATTCTTTTGAAAATTGACTTGTAGTGACGAGAATTTTTAATAAGATCTCTCCTTAAGAATATTTGTTCTAAATCTGACTTTGTTGGCAAAGTAAGTTGCATAATCATATTGTGCACATTTGGAATTTTTGAAGACTTGTATGTTAAGAGATGTCGTTTCAGAACAAATTTGATAGTTTTTAATTTGACGGTTGGTATGATTGAAAACGTTTGATTTGACGGTTGCTTTCATTAGTTTTCTTATAAACTATTATTCTTTTTCGTGTATTTTTTCGATATTATAGTTATTCTGCTATTCTGGTCGGAGACGAAGTTATTATTAATTACTAGTCTACGAGTAAAAAATAAGAGGAGAGAATATAACGGTGGTGGGAAATAGCATAACACACGACGGAAGTCGTCAAAATATCACTTCCTTTGCGCTGGTCAGTTATGTCGACTTGACTTATCATAAAACAGAAGGGACGATGTCAGTTTTGTTTTATTACACCACTGCCAATAATGACGCGTTTCTCCCCACTCTTCTCGCAGTTTTATCACTTCCTTTTTTTTTCATTTCCGTCAAGTCCCCTTTTAATGCAAGGTTCTCTCCTTTTATTTTTTACTCGTAGTTACTAGTCCACTGGTCCTGAGAAAGGAGACATCCGCTCATGCAGAGCTAGTTTCGAAAGTAACGGTAGGTAGGCACTATACCGCCTTAAAGTACAATGAAATCAAAATGCAACAGAGCTGCACTCTGAAACACTTAATTTGCGAACCTATGTTTATAAAGACCTTTTTGGCTTCTTTTCATGACGTGAATAAAATATGCGACATTTTCTGAAACACCCTGTATATGAGTATATTGACATTGTCTAACATTTCCCTAAAAAGCCACTCCAGTGTGCGTTAAAAGATGCAGTTTCAGGACATAATTGTGATGTTTGGCAAAATCACACTGTGCACATTTTAAATATTAAGACATGTGACTTAACATATGCCTCTTAACATTGTTTTGTTCTGGTACCGGCACGTAAGAAGGCTGTGAGTACAGAGGCCTATGCGCAGATGACTCATTTAAAGTCTGCAGGAGGAACCAACTCGCTCCGTGCGCACTAATAGGTGCAATTAATAGTGAAATAATTAATACAACGGGTTGTGTGATGTTTCGCCTTCTTACGTGCCGGGTACAGTAGTTTGGTTGTATAATCACCCTATGCACATTTTAAAACCTTTGAAGAATTCTGTCATAACAGAATGTTGTTTCAGAATCATAAATATATTGAACATTTGTTACAATTTCACACTGTGCACAGTTTAAATATTTAGAAGACTCGTGTGGTAATACATAATAATTATTATTATTTACATTCATAATCGTTTTCTTTATATTTTTTTGAATCCAACATATCAAAGATCATGAACATCGGCCCAGCCGTTCTCGAGGGGTGTAACATACACGATTTTGTTTTATATACAGGATGAACATTTTGCCTGGACATATCTTCAAAATACAATTTTAAAAAACTTTTGATGAGGCACAAAAATATAAAAAGTTTCAGGACATGGTGTTGATGTACTGCAAAATCACTGTGCACATTTTAAATATTTGAAAGTATTGTGCATACCTACTTAACTTTGGTTTGTACTCGTACCGGCACGTAAGAACGCTCCAGCGAGCTATGCGCAGATGACTCATTTAAAGTCTGCTGGCTCCGTGGCACACTAATAGACGCAATTATTATTAAATAATGAATAGTAGGGGCGCGTGATCTTTCGCCTTCTTACGTGCCTTGTACAGTCGTTCGCTGTGTAATCACACTGTGCACATTTTAAAGCCTTTGAAGACTCGCTTAAGAAATGTCGTTTCAGAACATGTTACAAAATTGCAATGTGCACACTTTAAATCTTTTGAAGTACTGCCTATTTTTAAGCGGCAAGCGGTTATTGGTCATTATTACTATTATTTTTTTCGATATTTTAATAGTTATTCTGCTATTCGAGTTGGAGACGAATCCAAGAAATCCGAGAACAAATGAAAAATCATGAAAATCGGTCCAGCCGTTCGCAAGTTATAAGCGGTGTAACGTACACGACCTCGTACACGACTTTGTTTTATATACAGGGTGAAAATTTTGTCTGGAACACTGGATATATACACGATTTTTAAAAAATCCAACATTTGTGGTCAGTGGTGTACTGTATTGTGAAGGGGGCACACTTTTTCAACGGCAACGACTAGTTTTCGTCGAGGTTTTCGTTACATATACCTTTCTTAAATAGTGCGTGACGGTTTTTTTACGATAAAAGCGTTATTCTTTTGTTAGTTATGTCAAAGCAATTTATTGTTTAAAAAATCATTAAAAATTCATATGAAAATCTATATGCTTAAAAATTATTTACAGTGGCGTGCGTCTACAGAACTAAGAGGGTCACTTTTTTAATGGAAAGCACTATTTTTCATGAGGTACTATTAACGAATGGACCTTTTTTTTAATAGGACAACATAAAAAACACGATCAAACTAATTAGTAAAATTATAAAATTGATTAACACAACAACTTTCCTTAATTTGAGTTTTTCTCTTAAAAATTTGATTATATAATATAATAGGTAAGTTTTTTACTGCTGTATCCAAAAAAGTGTAAAATGTAATTGCCATTAAATTAATATGCCTCCCATGACCATGCAGAAGTACGCCACTGACCACAAATTTAAAGTACGTACTTAAATTGGTAGCAATTTTTTTTACATTAAAAAGCTTCTTTAAAAAATGTTGTTTTGAAGATATACCCAGTGTTCCAGACCGGATGTTAACCCTGTACTGTACATAGATAAAACCAAAATTATTGTTTCACCAATACGCTCATTTCGGTGTTTTTAACGTATTTCTTTAATTAGTGATTACATCAATCCTAAAAAATCTATTGATTTAAGTCGCTATTAAAATTATCATTCAAATCAGACTTCCGAGAGATTCTAGAAGAGACGAGAGAAGAGATCATTTTCGTGTAACCGGAATGTCAAGTACTTTAAGAGTTTTCACAAGCCCTTAAGCATAACATTGCAAAAACCGAAAATTCCTGTAGAGAAATGGATAGGCGGACGTATTGCAAGATGGCGTAAAAATTAGAAAGTTTAGATCAGGATTCAACTCAACTTTTTTCCTCCGCTGTTCGCACGTTCTGTACAGGAAACTTTTGCGAAAATTTCCCGTAAGACGATCAAATTAACAGATATTAAAAACGCCCTCTCGACGTGAGGGGAACCATTCGTAGAATATGATGAACGTAATTTTTGGTGGATTACCGCAGATAATTAAATTAAAAAAATGAAAATTGATTTATACAAACCTAGGGTGTACCTAATACCAGAAGACGGAATTGCAACAAATGTGCGGGTTTCTCCACTTTGGGTTGGGTATCTGGATCAACTTCGCACAAAAACTGAACCGTGTGCGGAGAAGTAGGTACATTTGTACCTCGATTTGCAATGTGGTAATACCCGAAGGAATACCATAACAAGATCCATTCCTACAAGGTAAATTCGTTGATAAAAATTGAGGGTGTGTTTGTCTTCCATTCGCCCCACTGTCTTGCTACCACTGTCCACTGTTGATAGGGTTATTACTTTACGTGGGAACCTTGAGAAAACGAATTTTATTAAGATTTATAGCGTTAGTGAGAGAAACATCGAAAAACGATTACATCATCCGAACGCAATGTGCCCCAAGTTGATGGAGTTACAACAAATCGAAAGATAAAACGCTACTACGTAGGTGAAGAAATTCCATTATTAATCACAATCTTTCCGGAATTTCTACGCCGCTTAGATTAGAACATTAGGAAGGTGACGTTTTTCCCAAATATCTGAAAAACCTCATAGAGCGGCTACGTCATATGAAGAAAAAGGTAACGGCGGCGGCGGCGGAAGAGGACGCGCGCAGACGTCCCAACACCTGTTTGCTCTCGCTCGCAAAAATCAATGGCACAATCACGAAGCCAAAGATGAATGCGAAAAGGTCACGTTATTTATATCCACTTCCTCTAATTCCGTTACAACAAAGTCGGCGAAGGTACGAAATTATTTATGCGTAACGGGGTCAAACGGAATTGGCAAACTTGTTGATTGTTTTACTTTGAGTAATTTTTAACTGGAAAAAAAAAGGTCGGGTTACGACACGAAGACGCGCGGTACACTTGCGTCAGTTAAAGGAAAAAAATTGAATTCGCTAACATTAACATTATACTAATTAACTTGCGTCATCTTAGACACAAAATTGAAATGCGAAATAATTGCGTTCGAGGAACGTCAACTCATCCGTAATGACTTTCCAAAAAGCCGAAGAAAACCGTCGTAAACAAAAGAAATACCAGAACCGCGCTTTGTTTACATGCGGTCGCTTAAAAATAAAATTCGCCTGATTAACCTATTTTTAAGTTATACAAATCCGTGGGCGCTCAAAATTTTCTTACGTCTAGATGCGCTCTTCGAGAAACCGAGGAACCGGTTAAAAAGAAACCCAAAGCGGGAAGTCTCATTACTGTAACTACCTAATTAACGAATTCGGGGGAGGGTTCGCGATAAGAATTTCGTGCGATAGGCAAACGTTTCTATTATTAAATACCGAGAATTGAACGGCGATAGTGATTAATTCTGTTGAAAGATTTTTCAAGAAACGCGAGTCAGGGTCATTTACTTTTAGCTCGCCTCGTTTGTTCGTTCGCATGCAATTTTAACTTAATATTAGAACAAGCGAAGGGACTACTTCCGCAATTAGTGCGAATGAAGCGACTCAATGAAAAGCAGGGCACGTCCTTTACAATTATTATATAATTAACGGCTTTAATTTCATTCATAACATATCGTCGCCCTCCTACGTACCTATTAAAGTTTTTCTAATGCTGGATGCAGTTAGGAGCCATCCTGTAGTCAGTCTTGAAGTTATCACCATGAAGGAGGAAATCACTAAACTATAACACACCCGTCCGCCTTATATCCACGTAAAAACTACACATTGTACTATTTAGAGAAGTTTATTTACAATTAAGCACTCAGCTTAAACGAATATTGACAGTTGTGAGGTTATGACACTTCATATTAATCTAGAAAACGTTTGCACTTCGAGAACGTTTTCGAGCGAATGAAAATTCGAAATCGGTCGTACACGACAGCTGTTCCACTCGACGATGCAAGTGGGACGGAGGATGCGCGCTCACATTTGTCGAACAAAGACGGACGACGTGTAATGATATTCTCGGAACTGATAGAAACGTGTTTTCACTTCACGATAAGTCGGTTGTGGTGGGGAAGTAGCGTAGTTCAGGGAATCTCCAGTTCGAGGAAGGTATACGTATTTATATCCAGCACGGGACGGGCTAGACCTTAACTTTTCAAAAGTTCAGCGCTTCTCAAACAACTCGCACGCGTCTTAAAATAACAAACGATCGATATTTCCTCTACCCTGACCATTCTAATACACTACTTCCTAGAATAATCAATTTTCTACTACTGGTAGTAAAGCGCGAGTAGATAAAATTAAATGTCGTCATCCAAACGAAATTATGTAAAATCGATACGAGACCGTATGACGTTCATTGCTTCGCTGCGTTTTCTATCGTCGTTACTTACTTTGCAAAAATCAGTTTTAAAAATGTGCTCGGGATGCCTCCCAACTCGATCTTTTATTCTTTTCAAGGTTCATTTCGTGGTTTTTGGTATTCTAGTCTACTTTACGAATTCGATTGTTAAGTCACCAGGGTTGATACGAATTCATTCATATGAATTAATTCAAATGACTTTTTCATCAAGTCTAAGAATTCATTTAAATTTTGTCCAATGGTCACAAATTGCTTTATCTACTCCGAATTCAAATATCAGGTGGCATTATAGCAACCGAAAGCGAATATAGCAATAAACATTTAAACAATAAACATCTGACAATCGTGCAGCGTATAAGACCATTGAATAACTCAACGCATACGCCAAAACACAATAAAATGCACCTTGCGCGTGCTTGGAGGGAGTATCAACAAGTAAAAAGGTTTTCGCCCTAAGGCGAGTAACTTCAACGCATTTTCCATAAATTGATCAATACTTCCCCAAAGGCCATACCTATGTGCGCTATGTTTTTCATTACTAGAGGCATATTTTAAAGAAATATCTTAAATGAGGACGTTGACACTTACTGCGCAGTTGATATTGCGCGTCTTGCGCATGCGCTTATTAATCTGATATTTACAATATGCAATACGTTTGCTTTTACTATAAGCATCTCTGGTTAAAATTTCAAAGAAATATCTCCATAAATAAGAAAGTTGGCATTGCGCAGTCTGCGCATGCGCATATCTGATTTTTACTATATGCGATATATTTGCCTTTACTACAAGTATCTGTGATTAAAATATCAACAAAATATACTAATAAATAAAAAAGTTAACATTGCGCAGCACGCGCATGCGTAGTTCAATCGTCAAGATTTTCCTTGACTCAGGTGCCAGAGCGATACGCTACCGAATGCAAAAAGAACGAACTAAATATCTTGAAAACTGTAGGAGTAGTTAAGGCCTCGGACAGACGGACAGAGAAAGTGGCTGCAATAACGCACCGAACTTCGTTGGAAAATGTGCTAAAAAACGTGTTTATGGAAAAACTGGTGTTTAGCGCATTTTCCAACGAAGTTGGGTGCGCTATTGCAGCCACTTTCTCTGTCCGTCCGTCTGTCCGAGGCCTTAACTACTCCTACAGTATTCAAGATATTTAGTTCGTTCTTTTTGCATTCGGTAGCGTATCGCTCTGGCACCTGAGTCAAGGAAAATCTTGACGATTGAACTGCGCATGCGCGTGCTGCGCAATGTTAACTTTTTTATTTATTAGAATTAGTATATTTTGTTGATATTTTAATCACAGATACTTTTAGTAAAGGCAAATATGTCGCATATAGTAAAAATCAGATGTGCGCATGCGCAGACTGCGCAATACCAAACTTTCTTATTTATGGAAATATTTCTTTGAAATTTTAACCAAAGATGCTTATAGTAAAAACAAACGTATTGCATATTGTAAATATCAGATTAATAAGCGCATGCGCAGGACGCGCAATATCAACTGCGCAGTAAGTGTCAACTTCCTTATTTATGAAGATATTTCTTTAGAATTTTAACCATATATGCCTCTAGTAATGAAAACCAGACCCCTGCGACGTTTTTTTCGCAAAAATAAAAAAACGAAAAAAACAGTTTTCCTACTCTTTCTCGGAAAATTTGAGGTTATGTTCTTTCCTGCAACTTTTACTTCGAACATTTTCTCCTAAAATTAATAGTTTTGCCACAAATTGCAAAATATTGCCACTCCTTTCCACCCCCGAGATCTCGTGGAAAAATTCAGAGGTTTTAATTATTTTTCTCCAATTTTGAATCACTACGTAAAAAATCCGGTTTGGATCGGAAACTAATTTTTTGTGTCAAAATAGCTATATGTATGCTATGTGTCCAATATAAGGATCATGGGGATCTCCGAAACCATAGAAGATACGATGATGGGTAAATTAGAGAAAATATGTGCAATTAAAGAGTTAATATCATGCTTAAAAGAAAAACCTGAAAATTCCGATTACTTCCGAAGATATGCCAGAAAAACCGAAATTGTCCGAATTGGTTTTAATTTTTTCTTATGCAGATACAAAAAACCTTTTGAACTTTACAAGATTCCGTTGATAGATTTTTAATACAACGTCTCGTTTTGGAGATTTCTTTATATGGTCCGTAAAAAGGCCACACTGTATTGAGTAGCATTTTTTTAATAGGAATACAACATACAACAAACACAAAAAAAACAATAAGTTGGAAACTGTTGGATTCAATAGGATGGTGCACCCGCGCACAACGCCCTAATCGTGTGAGAATACCTATCGAAGAAACTTTTCATTCTCCAGGATATTTGGCCGATAGGTATTCTGGTACGATTAGAGCGTTGTAGGTGGGCGCACCATCCTGTTGAAATTACAGTTTCCAATTTTTGTTTTTTTGTGTATGCGACGTACATCGTTGTATTCATAATAAAAAATACTACTCAATACAGTGTATAGGTACTTTTTTTATGGGCCATATAGAAAATAAAGTTATGATGATTTCTCCGAAACGAAACGTTGCATTGAACATCTCTCAACGCTATCTTGTAGAGTTCAAAACGTGGTCATTTTTATTTTTTTGGCTTTGCTCAAATAGCATCAGAAAAAAATAAAAACGAAATCGACAAATTTCGGTTTTTCTAGCTTATCTTCGGAAGTCATCGGAATTTTCTGGTTTTCTTTAAAGCATGATAATAACTGTTTAATTGCCCAACTTTTCCTTAAATGAGCCATCGTTGTATCTTCTATGGTTTCGAAGATCTCCATGACAGACATCCTTATCATGGACACAACGTATAGCGTGGACTGACAGTTACTTTATTGACGTGTGAAAAACGAGTGGACGAAAAAGAGATCCGAATTGCAGATATTTTGAGGAGCGCAGTAAACAAAATTCAACCAATAAAAAGGCAGTATGCAGACAATGCGGCAAAGCCACCATGGTTAGCCGCATGCAAAACTCAAAAGTAGTTGTTCCTGAAGAGGCAAATACAATTATACAAGATATTAGTGAATCAGGATCCTCCGAAGATGAACTGAATCAAAAATTCGAACTTTCTTGACCTTTTTTTATAAAATTCACGGCTTATTCCAATCCACTCCAGCACTCATGAGAGCGCCAAAACAAACTTAAGGGTTGAAAAGTAGAGTACCCTATCAGAAATGAACTGGGTGTACGCCCGTATTTTTAACGCATTTTCCAACAAAGTTAGATGCGCTATTGTACCCACTTTCCTTGTCCGCCCGTCCGTCTGTCCGTCCTACAGTTTTCAAGATATTTAGTTCGTTCTTTTTGCATTCAGTAGCTTATACCTCTGCCACATCAACCAAGAAAAATCTTGACAATTAATCTGCGCACGCGCCAAATGCGCAATGCCAACTTTTTTTAGTTTGCGGAGATATTTTTTGAAATTTTAACCCCAGATACTTTTAGTAAAAGCAAACATATCGCACAAAGTAAAAATCAGATATGCGTATGCCCAGAATGCGCGATGCCCACTTCTTTTTACTGTTAGACACATTTCTTAATTTTTACTATACAGGATGAGGCAAAAATTAAAGAGATTATTCCCGGGACTATTCTAAGGATACTTTATCCTGCGAAGATACAAGGCGAAAAATGATGAGTTGTTATCTTAGAACGTTCCCCGATTATTTTGATTAATTTTGTTTTTGTCCGGTGGTCAATGAGAAGAAGATTGGATGGTTGCATCCGAGCTAGAGGAAGCCATTTTAACAATTCTTGTAAACTGTAAAAAAACGATACATGTGATTTTTAGTCATAAATTGTTATTATTGTTGCAAAATGTTTCGCTCTGTATCTTCGCAACAAAGCACTCTTTCAAAAATCATCAAAATATGAAATTTGCTTAGAATAGACCAAGGAATTACCTACTTAATTTTTACCGCATGTTTAACAAACACCGTGTAGTATCTAGTAAAAGATAATACACCGTAAATAATATAAATGATAAAGTAAAGTTATGCGCATGTGCAGACTGCGCAATACTAACTTTCCCATTTAAGGATATATTTCTTGATATTTTAACCATAAATGCTGCCAGTAAACGCCAACTTACCGCATAGGGTAAAAATGAATCGTGAGTATTCTTAGACTGCGCAATGTCAACGTTCTCACTTTTAGAGGTATATTTTTAGCGCATTTTTTAAGAATAAAAAAAATGTGCTATTGTTTGCGTTTTGTTCGTCCGTCCGTCCGTCCGGACCCACATTCTATTTCCTGAGATGCTGTTTTTGAAAGTGCATAACTTTTACATACGACAACCAATCGGTCTCAGATTTTGCATACGCATACCTTTAGTGGTGCCAAGTTAAACTTTAGAAAATAGGGGGGGGGGGGGGGGTAAACAGATGTTCCACCCTTCATGGTTTGTAATGAAAGGTCTCATGGAAATAAATTGGTTTGTACAAACTATAACTTTCCCGTGCGACTCAGTGAACGACGGAGGGGGGGGGGGGGTAAAATTACTTTTACCTCTCATTGGGGGAGGGGGGTTGAAATAGTTTTATCCTTCATGGTACTCTA